AAAGCTGAAAAACAAATTTCGATATATTTCTCTGCGTTTACCTTCTTGTTAATGTATCGCGTTATATGATGGTGCTAGTACATAACTGTTATAAATATTTACGTTGCCTCGTAATAACCTTTATACAAGATAATTCTAATAAATAAAAGAACTAAGTCTGCCTGTGTTGGTAAGGCTACTACGAGCCACACACTCTCGGGCGTGATCCCACTACTGCTCGACACGGGTGCTTTTGGCTGCTGGGTTTCCCCCCTGGCCCGGTTCACACCTCCTTAGTCAACCTGGACGCCCTTAGCTCCCCAAGGGTGGCCATATTGATGCCAAGCTTAGTGCGGACACCCAATCAACGTGGGTGATCCCGCAGCAGTGATCCCTACCGCAAGCCATCCTCTAGTCCAAGCCACCGAGTCGCCGGTTTACAGAGCCTCGCCACAGACCCCAGCTGCAGCTAATGAGTTTGAAAAGAATGATAACCTTAACATAAGTAAAAGTCTATTTACCTAAAGTTCCTACGGCAGGTTACATGGCGAAATGAATATGCACATATATGTATACAAGGTTTTAAACATTGCATATGTTCTTACCGTACAAACACACATGAACAACCAGCAGACACAAAACTCTTATATGTATATATTTGTATATATACATATATACTGTAAATATATTTGCATCATATACTTAAAACTTTTCTTTCTTTCTTTACTTGCTTCGGCAGTACTCTCTTTATCTTTATATATGTATATGCCTTTGCTTGCTTGTGTTTAGACAAAATATCGTTTCCACTGTAAATAATTTTGAATAGTGCGTATGTTATTCGTCCTCATTGAGAGGAGTGCATTCTCTCCCTTCGTATAACTCTCGTGCTTTTGGTCGAACTGTATATAATACATGTGCTATGTAAGGGTATCTGTAATTAATGGAAATGTATGGAAGTGTTATTAGGATCTTTTATGTATCCACGTGTAGTAATTCCTAATATACAATAATTTAACCGAGCTTTAATAAAAAAAAAACAAAAAAACAAGTACATGCAACTTAGCCGATCGATGCTAAATACGAAACGATAATTCGCGTATGAATAAAAAATCATGATAAATTTAGGGGTATCATACCTCGTAGGGTATAGGAACTAAATGTTGTGGATGAGACTGGATCTCTCGATATTTGCATTTATTTAATGTATTAATTCGTACTTGGGTGGAATGTTTGATTATTAACAACTAGCACTGTTACTCCACAGTTTAAAATCAGTCTTGAATACACTATACTTTCATTAACGATATAAGCAGAAACAATCTTAAAAATTGATTTTTCACCAATAAATTAACATTCACTTCCATTACCTTCGTCCGATATATGGTAAGGAAATCAATGAAAGTTTGGTTCCTTCATACCTACTCTCTGTATTATTAAATGTGAATTCAACTTGGAGATATCGATCTGATGGGTAAGACGACAAACGAGTACTTTTGTCAGTATTGCTTGATTAACAAGAGTCTATGTTATGAACTCAAGACTGAAAAAAATCTATTAAGATTTTCTTATTTTGTGTAACTGTGATAAAACTTGTGCATGCCAACATTTCCTTATAGCCATATGATAGTGGTGCAGGCCTTAAACCTATGAGGATTCTAGGCTATAACAGGTACAGCGCATTTGGCAGAAATCTTGGCTATTTTAAGGTGGAATGTTAAAAATACTAATAGCCCATCCAAAGAAGAATGATTCACTGAATATCAAAGCGTACATATTGGAAAAAAGGGAAAACATACCGGGAACACCAAGTACATCGGAGCGCGGAAACTCACCACCTGGCTGTACATATGCATTTTTTTTAAATATAACCTGCCTTATGTAAATAAAATGTTTATTGGGTGTTCCAAGACGCATAGTTAAGGGCTGGGGTCTGTGGCGAGGCTCTGTAAACCGGCGACTCGGTGGTTTGGACTAGAGGATGGCTTGAGGTGGGGATCACTGCTGCGGGATCACTCATGTTGATTGGGTGTCCGCACTAAGCTTGGCATCAATATGGCTACCCTTGGGGAGCCAAGGGCGTCCAGGTTGACTAAGGAGGTGTGAACCGGGCCAGGGGGGAAACCCAGCAGCCAAAAGCACCCGTGTCGAGCAGTAGTGGGATCACGCCTGAGAGTGTGTGGCTTGTAGTAGCCTTACCAACACAGGCAGACTTAGTCCTATTATTATTATTATATAGGTGTGTATGATTTTTTTAACCTAATACATATATTCTCTTCTACTACCATATATTCCATTGCGTTGGCTAGCAAAACGGAAAGACAGAAATATTCCTTTTGTACAACGTACTTGTTCCTTTGGCCGACGGTAAATGTAACCTCAGAAGAGAATAGCCGTGTTAATGAAGTGTATCTCATTGAACTGCAGTGATTTTGATTGAAGTGAATAGGGCTATGTGTATTTTACTGACTAATAAAATGTTGCATATTGAATACTTGAATGTATTGTAGAATTGTATAATAAATTATTTCTAACAAGAGAATGTGCATGAAACTTAATCGATCAATGCAGAACAAATAGTTGATTGCCTGTTTGATTACATCTGTGAGCCACGTTCCCACGTCCCAACAGATGAGTCGTTAATATACGTCCCAACAGATGAGTCGTTAATATACAGTTAGTCTTATCTCTTCAATCAGGACCGAATTTGTTATCCCACACGATTCACATTATTTCGCCCTCCTATAGTTTACTTTGTTTGCTGTGACTGTGTGCAAAAAAAATACTATGCAGAAAACATCTAAGTGTACCACCGGATAAAGTTTTGCAATCGTTGTACCGTGATTTCTTTTCATCTAGTTAAAGTTAAGTATAACCACATTTCTTCCTTATTTCCATGCGATACACTGATTGAGGACTCGAACCACAATAGCCGCCCTCTCTTGCCTACCATCTGCGAAATACGACAGGCAGAAGTAATGCCCAAAAGTTTTTAAAGATGGATTGTAAATACGTCTGTAATTACTCTAAGAATAATGTGATGCACTGCATATAAAAGCAATCTGTATAAAAAAGAAAAAGAAAAATACAAAGGAAGCACGCCGAACATCGCCTAGAACGTTGGGGCGCGAACGCTTGCCACCCACGTGCATCGGGCCAGGGAGGGTACTTTACTTAATAACGCACTATATACTCTATTGACAAGGATATAACTTTGAAGCCAGATCAGTGAAGTATATGCGATTAAAAATGTGGAACGCTTCACGATTTTGCGTGTCATCCTTGCGCAGGGGCCATGCTAATCTTCTCTGTATCGTTCCAATTTTAGTATATGTACTGCCGAAGCAAGTACATCAAATGTATACTTTAGGGAGATTTTGAATGACGACTTTTAATGTTTTCCGTGCTTTATGTCCCATAGTTTAATTGTCGTTGCATGCGATACGTACTATCCACATCAATTCATCTTTAAAAAAATCGGCCATTTATTGAGCATAGTAATGATACATATGTAGGCCTATACATGGATGTGTACGTGTATAGATATTGTTCATACACACAAACATATATGCATATATATATGTATGTATATATAGATAGATCCGTTGATGCATACATTTCTATACTTATATATATGCCCGAATAAAATATCCGGGAAAAATATGTTCATGGCGTTAGAACCAACGTTTTCATAACACAGTATCAAAGAAAACAAGGTGTACAACAATCAAAGACATTACAACCACACAAAATGGAAATTCTAGTGTTTTGGTGAGGGGCACCAGGTAATCATGGTAGACATGTTCTACCTTTGGAGTCCCAGCTTGAATTATATAGAATAACTATTATTCAAGGGTATCTACCTACTAATTCAGTTGCAAGGCTTTTGGTTAAAGTGCAGTGGAAAACTATTTCATTAACTGATATATCGCGTTCATGTTGCATAATGGAAATTTGCTTGAATGCATTGTAATAATGCTAGTGCAAGCAGTGTACTTCTCATCTGTAGCTGTGCTTCCCTTCGTAATTATCAATTTGAATTAATGTGCTTAATTTCAGTAACTTATATTTTATATATCAACGATTGCAGCATGCCCTAATACTACTTATTTAGAATATATTCTAATACCCTCTAGTGGCATCAGAATACCCCTACGCCCGTTTGCCCTTCCATATCCAGTTGTTCTCCCCAACTGCCCACTGACAGATATCTAACAACATTAGGGGAAAATGAATAAACGTATCAGCTGATACTACAAAATCATTAGATAAAATTTACAGATCACGTTTTCCCTCTTTAAAAAAAATATAAGTAAAAAAAAAAAAAAAAAAAAAAAAAAAAAAAAAATTATGGAATGTCTTCTGTACAAAATAGTAAAAGGACTATGTCTGCCTGTGTTGGTAAGGCTACTACGAGCCACACACTCTCGGGCGTGATCCCACTACTGCTCGACACGGGTGCTTTTGGCTGCTGGGTTTCCCCCCTGGCCCGGTTCACACCTCCTTAGTCAACCTGGACGCCCTCGGCTCCCCAAGGGTGGCCATATTGATGCCAAGCTTAGTGCGGACACCCAATCAACGTGCGTGATCCCGCAGCAGTGACCCCTACCTCAAGCCATCCTTTAGTCCAAGCTACCGAGTCGCCGGTTTACAGAGCCTCGCCACAGACCCCAGCTCTTGGCATTGCGCTTGAACCGTTATATAAGCTTAACATATTCAAATATTATTGCCTTTATTTGCATGAAGTTGAGCATGTTATGTTGAGGAAATTCATATGGATATATATTATATACATATAAACCCTCTCGCTACGTGTATGGATAAATATACACTTGTATCTATGTATATATAATATATATGGATATATGTATGCATATAAATATATGTATATATATGGAGAGATATGTATAGCTATGTGTATACATAGATTGAAATGTATATGTATGTGCGTTTTATGTAAAATATGGGATTATCTTACATTTCTGTCCATTCTATGAACATGTTATTTGGCTTCGAAATACGACAGAAAATGTGTGACCATTGTCCCTCCTTACCAAAGAGAATGTTAAGTTTCTCTCCTTTTGTTCAACATACTTGTTCCTTTGGTAAGTGCTACCTCAGGAGAGAATAGCCGTGTTATTGAAGGGTACCTTATTGCTTAATTGCAATGCTTCTGAGTAAAGTTCACAGGGTTATATCGTTTTCATGTTGCATATTGGATGTTTGCTTGAAGGCCTTGTAGATTTGTATAAATTATTTTTAATAAGTACGAAAATGTGCATAGAACTTGATCGATTGATGCAAAGCAAATAGTTGATTGCCTGTTTTATTACATCTGTGAGCCACGTTCCCACGTCCCAACAGATGAGTCGTTAATATACAAAGCGTATTTGTTATCCCACATGATTCACATTATTTCGCCATCCTATAGTTTAGTTTGTTGTGACTGTGTGCATTAGAAAATAATAATACTATACAGAAAACATCCAGATGTGCCACCGGCTAAAGTATTACATTCGCTGTACCATTGTTTCTTTTCGACTAGTTGAAATTAAGTATAATCACATTCCTTATTTGCAGATATTCTGATTCAGGATCCACGCGATAGCCACCCTCTCTTGCATACCGTCTGCAAAATACGACAGGCAGAGATGATGCCTAACAATTTTAAGAGATAGATTGTAAAAATGTCTGTAATTATCCTTAGAATAATATGAAGCACTTAGCCTTTGCAAAAGCAATGTAAATGTGGGGGAAAAGGAAGCACGCCAAACAACACCTAGAACGTCGGGGCACGAACGCTCGCTACCGCGTACATCGGGCCAGAGAGGACACTTTAGTTAATAACACGCTATATAATTTATTGACAAAGATATAACTTTGAAGCAAGAACAGTGTAGTGTTTGCGACTGAAAATGTGGAAACGTAAAAATCATCTTTAATAAGCCCGAGAATGTGCATGCATCGATTACCGGTCGATCGATGCAAAACAATGCTTTCTTATACCATGATAATGTTGATCATCGCCAAAGTTTGTGGGTGGGTGAGTCCATCTTGTGTTTCGTGTGACGAAAAAAAATCCATGGAACCTACAAAATGCTATGCGAAAAAATGTAAAGTTTTGCATTTGTTGCACATTTCCTCCATATTTCCATACGATACACTGGATCATCAGCTTTCAGACCTTTTGTTTCCACGGCCGTCCTCTCGCCATCCTCGATTGCATACAAAAGCGATATATATATATGGAAAAGAGGAAGCCCGCCAAACGCCTAGAACGTCGGGGCGCGAACGCTCGCTCCCGCATGCATCGGGCCAGAAAGGACACTTTAGTTAATAACACGCTATGTAATTTACAAACAAAGATATAACTTTGAAGCAAGTTCAGTGAAGTATATGCGATTAAAAATGTGGAACGCTTCACGATTTTGCGTGTCATCCTTGCGCAGGGGCCATGCTAATCTTCTCTGTATCGTTCCAATTTTAGTATATGTACTGCCGAAGCAAGTACATCAAACTTTAAACTTTTGGAACTTTTGAAGTTCTTAGCGATGACTTTTGATGTTTTCCGTACTTAATTCGTCCAGTGCCGATACATGGGACACGTACTATCTACATCCAGTCAACCCTTTAGTGAGCACAGTAATGATGCATATTTGTGTATGTGTATGCATGTGTAGATAATTATTCGCAAACACGCACACACACACATATATACATATAAGTATATGTACATAAATATAGAGATGGATAGATAAGTAGATGCATAAATTTATATACGTATACCTGTGATATGACCCAATCAGATAATAAAAGCAACATTTTCATTATAATTTACCTAATTATTCAATTGCGTAGAAAATATGCATTTCATTAATATATCATTTGTATATTGCATATTGGAAGTTTGCTTGAATGCGCTGTATAACGGTAGCTCCTAACGGTCGCCCTCGTCTACCTACCATCCGCGGAATACGACAGATTGAAGTAATGCCTAAGATTTTTAGGAGATGGATTGCAAATATGTCTGTAATTATCCTAAGAATAATGTAAAGCACTGCGTACAAAAGGAAAAAAGTAAGCATGCCAAACAACGCGTAGATCGGGGCGCGAACGCTCGCTACCCACATGCATCGGGCCAGAGAGGTTACTTTACTTAATAACGCTCTTTATACTTTATTGACAAGGATGTGACTTTGAAGTAAAAACAATGAAGTACATGCGATTAAAAATGTGGAACGCTTCACGATTTTGCGTGTCATCCTTGCGCAGGGGCCATGCTAATCTTCTCTGTATCGTTCCAATTTTAGTATATGTACTGCCGAAGCAAGTACACCAAATATTTACTCTTGGGAGAATTTAAACGACGACTTTTAATGTTTTCCATACTTTATGTCGCTTAGTTTAGTTGCTGATGGTACTATTCAATTCATATCTTTAAAACAGCCATTTATTAAGCATAGTAATGATATATATTTAGGCCTACACAATTATGTGTATGTGTAGATTGTTCGCACACACATATTTTCACATATGTATGTATATGTACATATAAATCACTTGATGCATAATTTACATACGTATAACTGTTATATGCTCGAATAAAATATCCGGGAAAATATATTCTAGGCGATAAAACTTTTTATAACTCATAGTAACAAATAAAACAAGGTTTATAGAAGACAGATACATTACAATCATATGAAGAATAACCGTTATGCAAGGTTATCTACCTACTTATTCAACTGCAAGGCTTTTGGTTGAAGTGCAGTGGTAAAATATTTAATTGACTGATATATCGTTTTCATATTGCATAATGGAAATTTGCTTGAATGTGTTGTATAGTTGTAATAATGCTGGACATTTTAGAGTAATGTGCTTATTTTTCGCAATTGTTTTATCGATACATTTAATGATTGCAGCAAGCCCAATAACCCCTCTATAGAATATACTCCAATGCCCACTATTGGCGTCAGAATACCCCTGAGCTCGTTTGCCTCTCCATACCCCCAGCTGCCCAGGGACCATCCACTGACAGATACCTACAACGCCACTAGGTGAAAGTGAATAATCGTATGACCTGATTAAACACTACGTAATCATTAAATAAACTTTGCAAATCATACAATAAAAGACTACGAAATTATAGAATGCATTCTGTACAAAATAAAAGGACTAAGTCTGCCTGTGTTGGTAAGGCTACTACGAGCCACACACTCTCGGGCGTGATCCCACTACTGCTCGACACGGGTGCTTTTGGCTGCTGGGTTTCCCCCCTGGCCCGGTTCACACCTCCTTAGTCAACCTGGACGCCCTTAGCTCCCTAAGGGTGGCCATATTGATGCCAAGCTTAGTGCGGACACCCAATCAACGTGGGTGATCCCGCAGCAGTGATCCCTATCTCAAGCCATCCTCTAGTCCAAGCTACCGAGTCGCCGGTTTACAGAGCCTCGCCACAGACCCCAGCTCTTGACAAAGCGTTTGGAACAATTTAAAAGCTTACATAGTCAAATATTATTGCCATTAATTGCATGAAATTAAATAGGTTATACTGAGAAAATACATAAGCATATATACATATGCACAGACATTGTATAGATACACATAGGTATGTATATAAAGATGTACATAAATATATATATACTTATATGCGAGTATAAACATATACATATAAAAAAATATATTTTACATCTCACAGTATCAAATTGAACAAGGTGTACAGAAATCAAATACATTACGACCATACAGAATGGAAATTCTAGTGTTTGCTGATCTTTGATAAGCCCGAGAATGTGCATGCATCGATCACTGATCGATCGCTGGAAAACAATGCCTTCTTTATACCACAATAATGTTGATCATCGCCAAACCTTTTGTTTCCACACGATTGCGGCCATCCGCTTCCCATCCTCGATTACCTACCATCTGCAAAATACGACAGTAATGCCTTAAAATTTTAGGTGGATTGTAAAAATGTCTTAATTATCCTTAGAATAATGTGATGCTTTGCATACAAAAGCGATATATAAATATGAAAAAGAGGAAGCCCGACAAACGTCAAGAACGTCGGAGCGCGAACGCTCGCTACCGCGTGCATCGGCCAGAAAGTACATTTTAGTTAATAACACGCTATATAATTTACTGACAAAGATATAACTTTGAAGCAAGTTCAGTGAAGTATATGCGATTAAGAATGTGGAATGTTTCACGATTTTGCGTGTCATCCTTGCGCAGGGGCCATGCTAATCTCTGTTTCGTTCCAATTTTAGTATATGTACTACCGAAGCAAGTACATGTAGAAATTTTCAGCTTTTAAAATTCATTTTAACATTTAAAGAAATTCTTTACTCCAATGACACCAGAGTTGTTTAATGTTACGTACTGAACACACTGATATAGACATACATAAAGAAAACCTTGAACATATATATTACTTCTCTTTAGATTTGAAAAACAAATTTCGTTATATATCTGCGTTTTCTTCCTTACCGGTTAATGTATCGGATTATATAATGGTGCTAGTGAAGAAGTGTTACATTTACGTCATCACATAAGACAATTCTAATAAATAAAAGAACTAAGTCTGCCTGTGTTGGTAAGGCTACTACGAGCCACACACTCTCGGGCGTGATCCCACTACTGCTCGACACGGGTGCTTTTGGCTGCTGGGTTTCCCCCCTGGCCCGGTTCACACCTCCTTAGTCAACCTGGACGCCCTCGGCTCCCCAAGGGTGGCCATATTGATGCCAAGCTTAGTGCGGACACCCAATCAACGTGGGTGATCCCGCAGCAGTGATCCCTACCGCAAGCCATCCTCTAGTCCAAGCCACCGAGTCGCCGGTTTACAGAGCCTCGCCACAGACCCCAGCTATAGTTGTACTGTTTGAAAGGGTTTATAACATTAGCAAAATATTCACATGTATATATCTATTTAGATGTGGTAAGCTAGGCAATTTGTATAGAGATTATTATTATTATTTTTTTTTTTTACATACACATATATATTTGTATATATATGTATGCATGCATATGTATTGAAATATACATATATATATATATATATATATATATATATATTAATTCATGCAATTA